CGTTATTATTATTATTATTATTATTAATGTTACTTCAAAGATCTAATTCCTTTAATTATTATTATTTCACGTTGTTGTTGTTGTTGTTGTTATTATTAATGTTACTTCAAAGACCTAATGACTTTCATTATATTATTATTACCATATTACATCCCAACTGGCAATACTTCAAAGATCTAATTCCTTTAATTATTATTATTACACGCTGTTGTTGTTATTATTATTAATGTTACTTCAAAGACCTAATAACTTTCATATTATTATTACTATATTACATCCCAACAGTCATTACTTCAAAGATCTAATTCCTTTAATTATTATTACACGCTATTGCTAATATTATTGTTACTTCAAAGACCTAATGACTTTCATTATATTATTATTACCATATTACATCCCAACAGTCATTACTTCAAATATCTAATTCCTTTAATTATTATTATTACACGCTGTTGTTGTTATTATTATTATTAATGTTACTTCAAAGACCTAATGACTTTCATTATATTATTATTATTATTATTATTACCATATTACATCCCAACAGGCATTGCTTCAAAGACCTCATGACTTTTCTTATATAATTACTATTCAACAATAAGCATTATCTCATCATATTGTTGTTGATATTATTATTATTATTATTAATTCATATCCAAACTATTATTATTATTTTCCATCCCATCAGGCATTACTTAAAAGACTTCCTTCCTGCCATTATATTATAATTACTACAACCAGGATTCCAAAACAGGCCAGAAACATAAGAGGAAACTCGTGGGGGTGATTCCGTTCCCACATGCGTTTCCTGACACGCGTCAGGGGCACATCCCCTCACACACGTATCTATCAAGCTCAGGCCTGGGCCAACTTGGGCCCTCCAGAGGTTTTGGATTTCAACTTCCACAATTCTCTCAGTAGGAATTGTAGGAGTTGGAGTCCAAAACCCCTTGAGGGTCCAAATTGGCCCAGGCCTGATTTCTAGCAGCCCGCCAACTCCCCTCTCTGGTTTTTTTACCTCACAGTCGCCGCCGCCGCCTTCGAAGGCCTAGGCCTCTTCCTCCTCCTCCTCCTCCTCCTCGTCGTAGAGTCCGGCCTCCTCCTAGAAGGGGACGCGGCTGCCTCAGGTGGCCGCTGACAGGAGGAGGAGGAAGAGGAAGAGGAGGACGGCGGCGCCTGCGACGACTCGTGAGGGGGAAGGGCCCGGGGACGTACTGCGCACGCGTGGGAAGCAGCAAAAAAAAAAGGCGGGTGCTCCTTGCTCGACTTTTTCCCCCCTCTCATTGGCCACGCCCCTGGCTCCTCCTCGACGCTCATTGGCCAGGTTCACCCTCCTCTTTCATAGTCCTTCTCTCTCTTTTGAAACCACGCCTTTCCCCCCTCATTGGTCACGCCCACTACTTTTTCTCGACGTTCATTGGCCAACATCGCTTCAGGCTCCAACTCTTCTTTCATACTCCTCTCGTTTTTGATACCACGCCTTTTCCTCCTCAGTGGCCACGCCCCCCACTTCTCCTCGACGCTGATTGGCTACAGAACTTTCCGTCTCTTCCTTCTCACACTGCTTCCCTCGCTTTACAACTACGCCTTTTACCTTTCATTGGCCACGCCCACTGCTTCTCCTCGCCGTTCATTGGCCAGCATCCCTTACAGGCCCTTCCTCCTTCTGAATGGTTTCTCTCCCTGAATGGTTTCTCTCCTCGACGCTCATTGGCCAACATCTCTTCATACGCCTTCGCTTTTGAAACCACGCCTCCCACTTCTTCTCGCCGCTCACTGGCCAACGTCTCTTTCAGCCCCACCCCTTTTAAAAATATGCCTTAAAACCACGCCCCCCCTCGTCACAGCTATCTCACAGCCCTTTACAATAGGCCCCACCTATTAAAGAGGCCAATGAGACCGACCCGCCAATCAAAAGCGAGTCCTCGTCTGATAGACGTTGCTGTCCGACCAATGAGAAGCCTGGAAGGTTTTATCCCAGAATAGAGCCCCCCGTGGCGCAATGGGTTAAAGCAGTGGTTCTCAGTCTGTGGGTCCCCAGATGTTTTGGTCTTCAACTCCCAGAGATCCTAGCAGCAGGTAAACTGGCTGGGATTTCTGGGAGTTGTAGGCCAAAACACCTGGGGACCCACAGGTTGAGAACCACTGGGTTAAAGCCTTGTGCCAGCAGGACTGAAGACCGACAGTTCAGAGGTTCGAATCTGGGGAGAGCACGGATGAGCTCCCTCTGTCAGCTCCAGCTCTGCATGCGAAGACATGAGAGAAGCTTCCCACAAGGACGGTAACAGCAAAACATCCGGGCGTCCCCTGGGCAACGTCCTTATTTATATTTATTTATTTACTTTGCTTATATACCGCTGTTCTCAGCCCAGGGGCGACTCACAGCGGTGTACAACATAAGAACAACAAAATTAAAGACATAGTATAAAAACAATTCTGGCCCCAGAGTGGCCGTTGGTGTTGGGGGAAGGGCGCTGATGTCACAGGGGACAAGATGGCAATCGCAGATGGCCAATTCTCTCACACCAGAAGCGATTTGCAGTTTCTCAAGTCGCTCCTGACATGAAAAAGAAAATTCCCAGAATTAGGAAAAGGGGAGAGACATGTAGTCCTCACTACCTCTGAGGATGCTTGCTCTTATTGTTACCTTAAATAACTCCTGGCAATTAGTTATTATACTCGGATGATCCAACACTCCCCATAGTAGCAAATCATTATTAATTTGAATTTTTATCTGGAATATCTCCTGAATTTTTCCTTGTATCATTTGCCAGAATTTTTTTATTTCAGAACACTCCCACCACATGTGTGAATAAGTACCTTTTTCTTTATTACAATGCCAACACTTCGAATTCTTTCCTTTTAACATATAAGCCAATTGTTCAGGAGTTCTATACCATCTTAATATCATCTTTTTTTCTAATTCATTATATTTTTCTATTTTTATTTTATTCATGTTCCTAATTATTTCCTCTATTTTTTGTCTGTAATGATTTAACTCCATTCCATTTGTTACTTATTGCTCTAACCATAAACTCTTTATCTTCTACCATTAAATTATATATTTTTGCCACTGTTCCTTTACTTGTCTTTTCTCTTGCATTTAGCAATTTATCTACCTTTAGTTCTTCAGTGGGCTGTGCACCCTCTTTTTTTACTTTTACCCAAATCCCTCTTAATTTTAACCAATTTTCTTCCCCCCCCCTTTCCAAAAACTCTGCCAATTAATTATCTCTCCATCTTGCATACACATATCCTTTACCCTCCTTAATCCCTTTTCTTCTAAGTTATTTGCTAACTTTTCGGGGAGTCCCATGCTCTTAATTGGGGTCTTTCCTGATATTTTATATGCCCATGGTTTTTGCCATTTTTGCCAACAGTCATATGCTACCTTTCTCAGTCCTGTTAGATTTTCCTTTATTTTGTTAATATCTCTGGTATATAACCCGTATTTTCCCCATCCTACATTTATTTCGTTCTCTACTTTTATCCATTTATCTTCTCCCTTTAAACTTATTTCTAGTAGTGCTCTTAATTGGAAAGCCTCATAATAACATTGTAGATTTGGAAACCCCCATCCGAGAGTTCTCCTGGGGGTATATTGAATCTTTTTCATTATTCTGTTTCTCTTTTTCCCATATATCCATTCTCTCAAAGTGTTGTCCCATTCTTTTAATTGTTTATATTCTATTTTTATTAATAAAGTTTGGAAAAGATAAAGTAGTTTCGGAATTATGCACATTTTCAGTGCTTGTATTTTCTGTGGGATACTTAATTGCTTATCCCTCCAGGATTTTATTTTTTCCTGAATTTTTTTCCATATTGCCCCATAGTTGGCCACTTTTAACTTGGTTACTTTTTTTGTAATGTTGTTGTTCATTCGTTCAGTCGTCTCCGACTCTTCGTGACCTCATGGACCAGCCCACGCCAGAGCTCCCTGTCGGCCGTCACCACCCCCAGCTCCTTCAGGGTCAGTCCAGTCACTTCAAGGATGCCATCCATCCATCTTGCCCTTGGTCGGCCCCTCTTCCTTTTGCCTTCCACTTTCCCCAGCATAATTGTCTTCTCTAGGCTTTGCTGTCTCCTCATGATGTGGCCAAAGTACTTCAACTTTGTCTCTAGTATCCTTCCCTCCAGTGAGCAGTCGGGCTTTATTTCCTGGAGGATGGACTGGTTGGATCTTCGCGCAGTCCAAGGCACTCTCAGAACTTTCCTCCAACACCACAGCTCAAAAGCATCGATCTTCCTTCGCTCAGCCTTCCCTAAGGTCCAGCTCTCACATCCGTAGTTACTACAGGGAATACCATGGCTTTGACTATGCAGAGCTTTGTTGCCAGTGTGATGTCTCTACTCTTTACTATTTTATCGAGATTGGACATTGCTCTCCTCCCAAGAAGTAAGCGTCTTCTGATTTCCTGGCCACAGTCTGCATCTGCAGTAATCTTTGCACCTAGAAATACAAAGTCTGTCACACCTCCACGATTTCTCCCTCTATTTTCTTTTGTAATAGTAATGCCTAAATATTCTATTTCTTATTATTTTTATTTCTCCCATTTTTGCCTGCAGCGCCTTCTGCTCCTTTTTCCCCATATTGTATATAAGCATTTCTGATTTGCTCATGTTGACTTTCAATCCTGAGTATCTTTCAAAATCTTTTAGAATTATTTGTATTTCCCTTATTGCTTCTACTGGGTTTTCCATTATTAATAAAATGTCATCTGCCTCTGAGGATGCTTGCCATAGATGCAGGCGAAATGTCAGGAGGAAAAACCTACAACAACCTAATGATTCCAGCCCCGAAAGCCTTCAACAATACATGTCGTCCTCATTCGCCAGCGTTGGTTGATAGATGTGGTGATCCGACCAACGAGAAGCCTCGAAGGTAAGTTTTACCCCACCAATGAGAACACAGCTCCTTGAAGTCACACCCCTGGGCTGCTGCTGGTACAGACTTGGAGAAGTCTCTCCACTTTGTAGAATGAATGCAGTTCTGACATCGCTTTAAGCTGCCATTATATTTAATGGGGAGATCTCAGCCATGAGGACTAGAAGTTTCAGAGGTTACAAAGAAATAAAGACCCAATGAACTGCTTCCCCTTTTTGCATAGTTCTTTATGCTTCGCATATCCATCGCTAGGAAAGATTCAAGGCTAAAAGATAAAACTGTACACATTGACTAAAACACGGATCATCGACAATAATTCTAGGTTTTGTTCGGCAATGGCCAACATTCTTTAGGGCAGCCATGGGCAAACTTGGGCCCTCTAGGCTGTAAGGAATTGTGGGAGCCGAAGTCAAAAACACCGTGAGGGCCCAAGTTAGGGGTAATAGGAGAGATTATTTCCTTTCCTAAGACATCTGCTCACTACCAAAACAATAAAACAGCCTGGGAATCCCTAAAGCATGATCTTGAGAAATCCCCATAAAAGTCCTGAAGAGGAACACAAACTTGATGCTCCTGTTTTTTGCTTTCTGGAGGCAATAAATACTCTTGATTAGAATAAAATCCATAAGTAGGGATTTGCTAGTACGGGTACAGGGTAAACTCTTGCCTTTAGAAATACATATTAGAATTAATTCATATCAATTAATCTTTCTTAATTTGTATTAATATCAATTTGTATAATTTGATATTTTTCTTTATTAATTGTATTAATATTAATTTTTATTAATATTATTTTCTATTAAATAATATCAATTAAGTTGTATTAATATCAATTAGTATTAATATTTATTGTAATATCAATTAATTTGTACTAATTAATGTATTAGTGTCAATTTGCATCATTTGATATTAATTTGTATCATCTAAAATTTTGGTTTTTATTAATTGTATTAATACCAATTAATTTGTATTAATATTCATTTGTATTAATACCAATTAATGTGTATTAAATAATATCCATTAATTTGTATTCATTAATATCAGTTTGCATCATTTAGTATTAATTTGTATCACCTAATATTTATTTTTATTAATTGTATTCATTAATACCAATTAATTTGTATTAAATAATATCAATTCATTTGTATTCATTAATACAAATTTGCATCATTTGGTATTAATTTGTATCATTTAATATTATTTGTTTTTATTAATTGCATTAATTAATATTAATTTGTATTCAAAGCAAGGTTGTGCCCCTACATTAAAATATAATTCAGCACCAGAAAAGCCTGGATTCTGCAACTCACACATAAACAATAGAAAGTTTAAGTGCATTTGCCAAACTCCTCTCTCATTTGGCATAATTGTTTGAATGAAGTTAATACTGGACATAATTGGTATTAATTCTAATCAGGAAAGGAGCACTGATGACAGAAGGCCTAATTTCTAGAATAGTGTGATCATCCGTCCCTTTGGATTCACTGGAAGCACAAGATAAAACGGCAACATAATAATATTAACATAGGGTTGCTGTGAGTTTTCCAAGCTGTCTGGCCATGTTCCAGAAGCATTCTCTCCTGACGTTTCACCCACATCTATGGCAGGCATCCTCAGAAATTGAGAGGTCTGTTGGAAACTAGGCAAGTGGAGTTCCTGTATCTGTGGAACAATGTCCAGGGTGTGAGAGAGAATTCTGGTCTGTTGGAGGCAAGTGTGAATGTTGCAATTGGCCAGGTTGATTATCACTGAAAGGCCTTGCACCTTCAAAGCCTGGGTACTTCCTGCCTGGGGGAATCAAGTTGGCCATAGCAGAGCGCTTGATGAACCAACCTGGCCACAGCATATTATTGGAGAACACGGAAATGCTGGACCACTCTCACAACCACAATTTCAGACTACACAGAGAAGCCATTTAAATCCACAAGCATGTAGACAATTTCAACAGAAAGGAAGAGACCATGAAAATGAACAAAATCTGGTATTTTAAAAAACCCTCTAAAATCAGGACAGTAAATAAAGAGAAACAATCAGAAAACAGGGGAATTCCAGACGGGAAATAATTAGGGCCAGCTAATCACTGCCCAACAAAGGATTCCCCCAGGCAGGAAGCAGCCAGGCTTTGAAACTGCAAGGCTATTGAATGCTACTCAAACTGGCCAATTGCCACATTCACACGTGCCCCACACAGACAAGAGTTCTTTCTCCCACCCTGGACATCATTCCACAGACAGACAGATATAAAAACCCCACTTGCCTCGTTTCCAACACACCTCACAACCTCTGAGGATGCCTGCCATAGATGTGGGCAAAGGGTCAGGAGAGAATGCTTCTAGAACATGGCCAGACAGCCCAGAAAACGCACAGCAACCCAGTGATTCCGGCCATAAAAGTCTTCGACAACACAAAGGGCTAGATGTCAGATAACGGGACAAAGAGCAAAGCCGTCCCAATAGAGTCACAAAAGGGAAGACGTTGCTCTTGGGACTGCTTTATCGTCTTGCAGGGATCCAAGAAGACCAGTTTCAGGAATACAAAAGGAGCACCTGAAATGTGGATAAAGGCCAGTACTCCACTGTGGGTCAGTCCTTGATGAAAACACAGCATTTCCGCCTTCAAAAAATCACAAAAAATGGTACAAATCTAAGTCTCAAAAAGAAGAGGAGACCTGGTTCTCTCTCTCTTGCACACACACAACATGCAAATATACATATCTATGTACAGCAAGACCTTTAAAAAGAGCTTCCGGTGACAGAGGAAAGTCCTTCGGAAGCTGCAGTCCGTCATGTTTTTTTTTTTCTCTTTTTAAAAAATGCCAAGTATGAAGAAAAGACCCCATTGTCTCTTTCTCTCTCCCAGAGAAGGTTTGCCTGAAATCTCCTTCACAACAAACTGGCCAAGCTGGTGGTGGGTCCGTTCTGGGCTTGGAACTGCACCGGGGGAGGCCCATCAGTCCACTGGAAGCACAAGACAAACAACAGAAAGGGACAACATTAAGGTTTCGAATGATGGGAGGTTTGGATTGTCATATTCAATTTGTTCCTTAATCCAGAAGGGACAGAGCGTTTCATCTATGCTGATGATTGTGCCATCACTGCTCCAGCAGGGAGCTTTGAAATAGTTGAACAGCTCTCCAAAGCTCTAGGCCAATGGTTCTTCTCAACCTTCTTGATGCCATGGACCTTTCATACAGTTCCTCACGTTGTAGCGACCCTCAACCATAAAATTATTTTAGTTTCTACTTCATCCCTTAGGATTGTGTACGTTTGTGTAACAATGTTGTTCTCCAGACTACAGGCCATTCCCAAGTTACAAAGAGACGACAGGGAGGGAGAGGGATCTATCCTTCGAAAGTTCACTCCTAAAAGAGTTGTTATTATTATTATTATTATTATTATTATTATTAACTTTATTTATACCCCGCAAAATCTCCCGAAGAACTCGATACGGCTTACAAAGGCCAAGGCCGCCGACAACAACAACATACAATACACAATAAACTCATAAACAAATAATAAAACATCAAGCAAAACAATAAAACAATGACACTGTGACACAATTTAAAACCAAAGACCGGGCCAAATGTAATGGACAAAGTTTAAAAAGTGCTGTCATGACAGGTAATATGTAGAGGTATTTGGTAGGTACAATGTGCAGATAATCCTGAATCTCTAGCAAGATGCATTTGGGACTTGAAACCAGGAGTTTCCTATTCTGGAAAGGCACACTGGAACAGCCAGGTCTTCAGGCTGCTTCCTAAAGACAGCCAACGTTGGGGCTTGTCTGATGTCCTTGGGGAGAGAGTTCCAGAGTCGGGGGGCTACCACAGAGAAGGCCCTGTCCCTCGTCCCCACCAAACGCGCCTGCAACACAGGTGGGATCAAGAGCAGGGCCTCTCCAGATGATCGGAGGGAGCATGCGGGTTCGTAAACGGAGATGCGGTCACGCAGGTAGGCAGGTCCCAAACCGTTTAGGGCTTTGTAGGTAAGCACCTGCACCTTGAATTGGGACCGGAAAATGAACGGCAGACAATGGAGCTCCTTAAACAGGAGGGTTGACCTCTCTCTGTAAGGAGCACCAGTTAACATCCTGGCTGCCGCCCGCTGGACTAGCTGAAATTTCCGAGCCATTTTCAAGGGCAGCCCCACGTAGAGTGCATTACAGTAATCCAATCTAGAGGTGACCTAGGCATGGACCACCCCGGCCAGATCAGCCTTTACGAGGTAAGATCGCAGCTGGTGCACGAGTCTCAATTGTGTAAAAGCCCTCCCGGACACCACCGACGCCTGAGCCTCAAGTGTAAGTGATGAATCCAGGAGGACTCCCAAACTGCGGACCTGTGACTTCAGGGGGAGTGTAACCCCGTCCAGCACAGGTTGCCACCCTATACCCCGATCCGGTTTTTGATCGACCAGGAGGACCTCTGTCTTGTCGGGATTAATCTTCAGCTTGTTCCTCCTCATCCAGACAGCCACAGCGGCCAAGCACTTGTCCAGCACTCAAGGGGATTCCTTGGAATTAGGTGGAAATGAGTAGTAGAGTTGTGTGTCATCTGCATAGAGATGGCACCTAACTCCAAAACTCCGGATGACCTCTCCCAGCGGTTTCATGTACATGTTAAAAAGCATGGGAGATAAAATAGAGCCTTGCGGGACCCCACAGGTCAAAGGCCAGAGGTCCGAGCAGGCATCTCCCAGCTTCACCATCTGGGATCGGCCCTCCAGGAAGGACCGAAGCCAGGACAATACCGTGCCCCCGAGACCCATCCCAGAGAGCCGTCCCAGAAGGATACCATGATTGATGGTATCAAAAGCCGGCGAGATGTCCAAGAGGACCAACAGGGGCATACTCCCCCTGTCAAGCTGTCTACAGAGGTCATCCACCAAGGCGACCAAAGCCGTCTCGGTACCGTGGCCAGGCCTGAAACCAGACTGTGACTGGTCCAGGTAATTGATGTCATCTAGAAAACCCTGGAGCTGGGAGGCGACCACCCGCTCCAGCACCTTGCCCAAAAACGGGAGGTGGGAGATTGGTCTATAGTTGTTCAGCACCGTGGAGTCAAGGGGAAAAGTATTTCCACTGAAGCTTTATCTCCAATCCTTGTTTCCATTTTTTTTTTCAAAATTCAATTTTCATAGGGACGGAAAATGAGGTGACATCTTTTGAACAGGGGCACAGACAGCAAAACAAACACCACAGGAGTATTGCCCCTTCCCTATGCTATTCAAAGCTAGTGTATGTATATATGTGTGTGTACATATATATGTATATACTTGAGTATAAGCCAACCAAAATATAAGCCGAGGTACCTAATTTTACCCCCCAAAAACTGGGAAAATGGATTGAGTCAAGTATAAGACGAGGGTGGGAAATGCAGCAGCTCTGGTAAATTTCAAAATAAAAATAGATACATGTTTCGGAATATTGACATAAAACTGTAATTTAAGATAAGACTATCCAACTCTGATTAAACCATTCTTCTAACCTTCTTCAATGTAAATGTGCTTACATATCCTTCCAATAATAATAAAGAGAGTAAAATAATAAATGCAGTAATACTAATAGAGTAAAATAATAAATGTAAAAATAACAACAATAAAGTAAAAGAATAAATATAAAAGAATAATAAAGTAAAATGATAAATGTAGCAACAATAATAACGACAGAGTAAAATAATAAATAACCTTGACTCGAGTATAAGCCAAGGGGGACATTTTCAGCCGAAAAAAGGGCTGAAAAACTAGGCTTATATTCGAGTATATACACAATATATAGTGTGTGTGTGTCTGCGCACACACATATAAGCTGGAGTTACACTTAAGAAATGTATCTATACAAATAACCTATTTTGGGTTATTGTGAGTTTTCCGGGTTGTATGGCCATGTTCCAGAAGCATTCTCTCCTGACGTTTCGCCTGCATCTATGGCAGGCATCCTGAAAGGTTGTGAGGTCTGTTGGAAACTAGGAAAACGGGGTTTATATATCTGTGCAATGTCCAGGGTGGGAGAAAGAACTCTTATCTGTTTGAGATAGGTGTGAATGTTTCAATTGGCCACCTTGATTAGCATTTAATGGCCCAGCAGTTTCAAGGTCTGGCTTCTTATTGCCTGGGGAATCCTTTGTTGGGAGGTGATTAGCTGGCTCTGACTGTGTCTTGTCTGGAATTCCCCTGTTTTTGAGTGTTGTTCTTTATTTACTGTTATGATTTTAACAGTTTAAAGGATTTCCCAAGGAATATAATTAAAACAATAAAACCAAACAGTAAAACATCATAAAAAGGCATCAACCGACATCAACAACTAGTAGCCAGGAAAAGTGGGCAAGTTGAGATTTGAGAGAGCAGGACAAGGGGTTGTGTAAATGCAAATTATAGGGCCAGGCTGGAAATAAAAGTGCTGGAAAACCAAAACAATAAATGAGGACTAGGGAGACCTAATCGGTAGCTGAACCGTTATTCAAAGGCAGATTGGAACATCCAAGTTTTCAAGTCTTTACAGAAAGTGGACTGAGTGGGGGCTAATCCGATCTCCCTGGGGGCCACCACCGAGAAGGCCCTCTCTCTCATCCCCGCTAAGTGCGCTTGTGATGGAGGTGGAACCAAGAGAAGGGTCTCCCCAGCAGATCTTAGAGCTTGCGCTGGTTCATGGGAGGAGATACAGTCACAAAGATAAGCAGGACTTGAATTGTTTAGGGCTTTGTAGGTAATACCTGTACTTTGAATCGGGACCAGAAACTTATCGGCAGCCAGTGGAGCTGCTTCAGTAGAGGCATCGTCCGCTCCCTGTAACTAGTTCCGGTTAATAACCTGGCTGCCGACCTTTGCACAAGTCATAGTGGACTACAGGAAAGACAGACCAGAAATCCAGCCCTTGGTCATAAATGGAAACCAAGTGGAGCGGGTGGCCAGTCTTAAGTTCCTGGGTGTAACTGTTAAGGAGGATCTGACCTGCGACGTTTATATGGCAGCATTGCTGAAGAAGGCCCAGGAGAGACTGTACTGTCTAACACTTCTAAGGAAACCCCAAAGGCCATCCAGTCCAACCCATAAGAGACAGACAGACAGATAGAAAGATGGATAGATAGTAGGCCTGTTCAACGCATGGTTCTAAAATACTTACAAAACTAAAATTCTGGTGGTGAAAATTTCAGAACTCTTTCAAAAATTTAATTATTTCATTATTTTTATGACAGAACCAATTAGGAACTGCCATTCATAATGAAATTTTGAGAGTTTTGTTAAGAGTTCTGATATTTTCACCACCAGAACTTTAGTTTTGTAAGTACTTTAGAACCATTTAGAACAGGCCTAATAGATAGATAGATAGATAGATAGATAGATAGATAATAAGACGGAATGGTAGGTAGGTAGATAGATAGACAGACAGACGGATGGAGATCGATAGATAGATAGAATGGTAGATGGAGAGAGAGAGATGGATAGAATGGTTGATAGATAGAATGGTAGAGATGGATGGATGGATAGATAGAATGATAGAGAGATGGGTGGATTGATAGATAGATAATTAGATAGAATGGATAGATGGATGGATAGAATGGTAGAGAGATGGATGGATGGTGGATAGACAGACAGAAAGGTCGACAGATAGGTAGATAGATGGATGGTTGGATTAACAGACAGAAAGGCCGATAGATAGGTAGATGGATGGATGGATGGATTAGTAGACAGATAGAAAGGTCGCTAGATAGATAGGTAGCTGGATGGATGGATGAATAGATTGATAGACAGACTTCTAAGGAACCAACAACGGAATGAAAAACTGCTGTGCTACAGTGTGTGTCCAAACCTATTGCATCTGCATATGGTTTAGTAACTGCACAGTGGCAGATAGGAAGGCACTCCAAAAGGTCGCCACTTCTGCACAGAGAATCATTGGTTATCCTCTTTCTCCCATTTTTGGAAGACTTTTATAAATCCCACTGCATTCTTGGGGACCCATCTACCTGGCATATTCCTTTTTTGAGTTATTACCATCTGGCAGATGGTACAGGGTGACAAAAGCAAGGACAAACAGACTGAGAGATAGCTTTTATGTTGAACTCCATGGTTTTGCACTGATGTAGCATCGGGGGCTGTGCGGTAGTGGTTGGGGCGTGGAGGAATGGGTGTGTTGTGCATTTCATTTTGTTGTGCAATAGTACAATGACAATAAAGCTGGGAAGCTTGGGCCTCCGAGAAGAGAGAACGTACCGTGATGAGATTATGCTCCGGGAGGCTGCAGGCCTCGATGTGGTCCTGCAGCAGCTGCTGGGAGAAGTTCTGGTGCATCTGGGCCGCTTCGTGGGCATCAATGGCATTCCCACAGGCTTTGTTTAGGTCTTTAGGGGCAAAGTAGGAGAGAGAGAGAGACAGAGCAGCGGAAAAGCAGGTCAAAGAACACTCTGACAGCTATACCAAAATTTAAGAGTCAATGAAAGACCAGTCTCTTCTGGCAAGAGACCGACCCAGTCGATCTGTAATTATGAATTTTAAAGTTATGTACTGTGCCTACTGTCTTTTAATAACAATAGACATTGTGAGGACAGGCGGGTAATAAAATAATAATAGTAATGAAGTCTGTGAGGAGAGGCAGGTAATAAAACTATAATGATGATGGAGGTCATGAGAAAAGTTGGGTAATACAATACAACAACAATAATAAAAATAATGGAGGTTGTGAAGAGAATGATAGAGCCCTCGGTGACGCAGAGGGTTAAATTGCTGAGTTGTTCAACTTGCTGACCGAAAAGTCGGTGGTTCGAATCCAGGGAGCGGGGTGAGCTCCCGCTGTTAGGCCCAGCTTCTGCTAACCTAGCAGTTTGAAAACATGCAAATCTGAGTAGATCAATAGGTACCACTTCTGTGGGAAGTTAACAATGCTCCATGCAGTCACGCTGGCCATACAACCTTGGAGGCATCTACGGACAACGCCGGCTCTTCGGCTTTGAAAGGGAGACGAGTACCAGCACCACCACCCACCCCGCAGAGTCGGACATGACTAGACTTAATGTCAGGGGAAAACCTTTACTTTTACTTTCAGAGGAGATTGAGGTAATAAAATAATAATGGAGGTTGTGAAGATAATACAGGAAATAATAATAATAGTAATGGAGGCTCAAGACAGAAAAAGAGGCCGGTAAGAAACTATTATTATTATTATTATTATTATTATTATTATTATTATTATTATTATATATTTTAGGACAGTCAGTGTTGTGTAGTTTGGACACTGGGCTAGGAAACCAGGGTTCGGATCCCCACTTAGCTGTGGAAACCCAATGGCAAGTCCTACTCTCTCAGTCTCAGAGGAAGGCGAGAGCAAAATCCTCTCCCAACACTCGAACTAATGCATTATGTTGGCACTCTTTGAAATCCCTAGTGATCCATAAAATTGGGGTGTCTTCAAGTGTATTTTAAATATGGAGTGAAGAATGCCAATATATAACCCCTGAAGTTACCTCGTAAGAGGGCCGAGGACCACAGCTGCACAGACATATCCGGAATCTTGCTGGCCAGCTGCATGGCCGGCACCACCATGTTGTTACTCTCCTAGGGGCAACAGGAAGACGCTTAAGTGATGGGGTCAATAAAGTGGATGATTCCCTTTGAGTGGGGAACCATTCACCTGAGTCAAACTATAGTCAGCCTGCACCTTTAAAAGCAAGCTCTCAAAGGATACTTGCTGTGATTGACTCCAATTTTTGTGACTTTCCTAAAGCAGTCAATAACAAACTTGAGGCAAACTGGCTGAGCGACAATTATGTTTTGCATCCCTGAAGAGCAGGACTGAAAAGGCTTTCGAGGGTTTACGTACCCGATGGTTTCCCAAAACATAGAAGATGTGGCCCAGAAGGACCAAGGAGCAGGCCGTCAACCGGTTCAGGTCTTCCGCGTTTGACATCTTCAGGGTCTCCCGCAAAAACCGCCTGTGGGAGCAAAAGTCAGGAAGAGGAGGAAATGCCACTTTTGCGGGTGCACTTCACGCCAGGAAGGAAGAGGTAGCCAAGCTCAAAGCACTCACTTGGCTTCATTGTAGCGCCCTTGGAAGAAGGAGAAGAGCCCACGGATGTAGAAGGCGGCAGCACGAAGGCAGTGGGAGCTGCATACAAGAGCAAAGCCGTCACTTTATTTACATCACACCAATTCGAGGTAAAGATATGACCACAGACATACGGATCCACAACAGAAGGGAAAACCATTCCAAGGGAGACTTAGAGGTGGCTTTGCTTCTGAAATAGAATCTATAGTGCCTGGCATTTGTAATAAATTTCCCATCCAAGTCCTAACCAGGGCTAACCCCACATTGCTTCCAAAATCATAGGGGATCTGGCGCCTTTAGTCCTAACCTCATAAATATATGGCCTTAACCCAGTAAACATACCTCACAGGGAAGTTGTGGTCGGGATTTATCCTTTCCAATAAACTGTATAGCTAGACAAGAAGAGACAAAAGGAGAAAAAAAAGGCTTTACTGTGCATTCCTGGAAGGACTGAGTGAGTTTTACATACACTATTTCCTGGCAAATCAGAATCCAATGGCAACAGTTACAGTGCGGAAAGAAGTATTTAGTCAGATACCAATTGTACAAGTTCTCCCACTTAAAAAGACGAGAGAGGTCTGTAGTTGACATCATAGGTAGACCTCAACTATGAGAACCAACATGAAAAAAAATCCAGGAAAAAACAATGTCTGATTTTTAACGAATTTATTTGCAAATTATGGTGGAAAATAAGTCTTTGGTTCATAACAAAAGTTCATCTCAATACTTTGTTATATATCCTTTATTAGCAGTGAAAGACGTCAAATGTTTTCTGTAAGTCCTCACAAGGTTGGCACACACTGTTGCTGGTATGCTGGCCCATTCCTCCATGCATATCTCCTCAAGAGCAGTGATGTTTTGGGGCTGTCGTTGGGCAACACAGACTTTCAACTCCCTCCAAAGGTTTTCTATAGGGTTGAGATCTGGAGACTGGCTAGGCCACTCCAGAACCTTAAAACACTTCTTACAAAGCCACTCCTTCGTTGCCCTGGTTGTGTGCTTGGGATCACTGTCATGCTGAAAGACCCAGCCACGTTTTATCTTCAGTGCCCTTGCTGATGGAAGGTGGTTTGCACCCAAAATCTAACGATACATGGCCCCATTCATTCTTTCATGCATACGGATCAGTCGCCCTGGTCCCTTTGCGGAGAAACAGCCCCAAAGCATGATGTTGCCACCCCCATGCTTCACAGTAGGTGTGGTGTTCTTTGGATGCCACTCAGCATTCTTTCTCCTCCGAACACGACGAATTGTGTTTCTGCCAAACAGTTCCACTTTGGTTTCATCTGACCATATGACATTCTCCCAATACTCTTCTGGATCATCCAAATGCTCTTGAGCAAACTGCAGTTGGCCCCAGACATGTACTGGCTTAAGCAGGGGGACACCTCTGGCACAGCAGGATCTGAGTGTGTTACTGATGGTAGCTTTTGTTACATTGGTCCCAGCTCTCTGCAGGTCATTCACTAGGTTCCCCCGTGTGGTTCTGGGATTTTTTCTCACCATTCCTGTGATCATTTTGACCCCATGGGGTGAGATTCTGTGTGGAGCCCTAGATTGAGGGAGATTATCAGTGGTCTTGTATCTCTTCCATTTTCTAATTATTGCTCCCACAGTTGATTTCTTCACAGCAAGCTTTTATTTTATTTATTTACAGCTTTATATTCCGCCCTTCTCACCCCGCAGGGGACTCAGGGCGGATTACAGTGTACACATATATGGCAAACATTCAATGCCAATTTTTGACATACAAACATATACAGACATACACAGAGGCGATTTAACTTTTTCTGGCCACGCTTGGGAGCTGTCGCTTTCATCGTCCATCTGTGACACTGATGAAGCACTTCCGCATTCCCCGCATGCTTCCCCGCTGGAGTGCTTTGCTGGAGTCTTCTTTATGGCCTCATAAATCAGTTAATTTAGCCTCCCCACACTTTTTTGCAACTGTCTTTCGGGTTGCAAAGGTCGACAACAGGCTACACACAATTGGTTGGAAACCCACTCCAACCCGGGCTGGCTTCGAACTCATGACCTTTGGTCAGAGTGATCTTAATGCAGCTGACACTCAGCCAGTTGTGCCACAATCCCGGTGCTTGTCTATTGCAGATTCAGTCTTCCCAGTCTGGTGCAGGACGACAATTTTGTTTCTGGTGTCCTTCGACAGCTCTTCGGCCTTCACCATAGCGGAGTTTGGAGCGTGACTGCTTGAGGTTGTGGACAGGTGTCTATTATACTGATAACAAGTTCAAATAGGTGCCACTACCACAGGTCATGATCTATTGGCACCAATACTCTTTAACCTTTACTTGAATGATATAATACCTGCACTCTCGGGGCCAGAATTTTTTCCACCTGCAGTAGGATCCAAGAAAATCTCCATCCTATTATATGCAGATGACATGGTTCTAATTTCACTTACCCAAATTGGCCTGAGAAGACTGCTCTCTAAGCTTGGTGCATATTGTTATAAAGAAAAGCTGAACATCAACTATAATAAAACAAAGGTAATGGTGTTTGGAAGAAGACACTCTCAACACAGATGGTCCATCAGGGGTCACCAAATAGAACAATGTCAGGAATTTAAGTACCTTGGAATCCATTTTACGGAAAGACTATCCTGGAAACCCCATGTAGAACACACTAAAGCAGTAGCTTTGAAATCTGTTGGAGCAATACTCAGATTCTACAACACTGCAGGGGGTCATCTAGTTGTCCCAGCCCTTAAAATATTTCAGAGTAAAGTTATAGCCCAGATTTTGTATGGTGCTGCTGTCTGGGGATGGGATGAGTCTCAGACAGCAAAACTGGAGGCTCTCCAGAACACATTTCTTAAGAAACTACTGAGACTCCCACCGGGCACCCCGGCAGCCTTGGTCCGGGCAGAGGTTGGTCTCCCCTCCATTAGATCACGTGTTCATTTTACCCTATTTAATTATTGGAGAAATGTAAAAGACTCCTCAGTTAGGGTTCTTCCCAAGGGATGTTTTGAACAACTAGCAAAATGCAAAGTCTGGAACACTAGATACCAGAAGCTGCTGGAATTTCACCCCACTCTGTCTGATAAGCCTTCTATCTTGAACTCAAGGGAGAAACTCCAGGAATATTTTTTTAATAATTGTGCCCACCATGATAGGCAGGCCATTAATAACTCCAAATTCTCCCACTGGTTTAGACTGTACAAACTTGACCATGATAGGGCTATCTACCTGACTAGGCTCACATTTCCAAAACTTAGACAAGCCTTCACTGCCCTTCGTTTTCAAAGTATACCCACAGCAGTGATTGATGGCAGATATATGGGCACCCCTCTAGCTCTTCGTTTATGTGTTTGCGGGGCCCCGGAAATTGAGGATCTGCCTCACTATTTGCTTTTCTGCCCTTTGTATTCTGATCCAAGAACCAAAATACTCGGGTTTATTCTCCACCTCCTTCAGACCAACACTGTGTCCGAAAAGATTTTCTATCTCTTGGCTGACACTAACCCCGTGGTTACTCAAAAGGTCTCTCTTTTTGCCCTGGCAGCACAGAAAATCCGGGCAAAACTAATCTCTGATATTGCAGTTGACTGTGCTGGGGATGCTTTCAACTAATAGTGGCTAATATTTTTCTCTGCTCAATTTGAGGTTTTCCAAACCCAAAATCAAGGCTCTTCTTACCTCTTGATGCCGGTTCCCTTCCCGAATATAGACGCTGGCAAGGTTGGTCACGATGAAAGCCCACAATTCCTGATGTGTGGTCAACTGTGGCAAAGAGGAAGGAGCAACAACAGAGGAGTCACCATTAAAACACAGTTCACATCAGTCCGCAATTCCTCCACTCTTCAAAGTGCAACCCCTTAGAAGTCTTACCCTGAGCGCTGTAGTGAATTGGGCTTCGGCATTGTCCATGCAGTTGACAGAGATGCAATACAAACCCTGAAAGAGGAATAAACACTTCAGGAAACAAAGCCTATTGTCTCTAGAATTGGGGGGAGGGAGGGAAGCAGTGTGCATAAAAAGAGCTTCTCTGCATCCCAAAACACAATGTAATCATAAGGTGCAAGGTTTTGTGTTTGCAACTATGAGCCAATTCATTTTTCTACTCAGAACGGAACAGAAACAAAAAAGGGAAGTAAGCGTATCATGGTTTCCTCTCCTAGCAAGGGATGTCTATCTTGCACTCAATAGCCTTTGAGATACCTTCCAACTGGTATGTAGGTTTGTTTATTACCTCGTCTCCCCATGAGTCCTCCTTACAATTAGTTTTACCCCTTTATCTCACCCAGTTGTTTTTAAATCATTTTATGTACATGCGACTCGCTCTTTGTCCTTATGTTTGGTTCTTATGTTCTATGTATATTGTTTATATGCTTTGATGTTCTATACTTTAATGTCATGTTGTTTATTTTATTGTAATTTTGAATTTTTGTATTGTAATTTGTTGTTCGGGCTTGGCCCCATGTAAGCCGCTCTGAGTCCCCGTTGGGGGAGATGGTGGCGGGGTATAAATAGTTTATTATTATTATTATTATTTGATTGCTACAGTAAATAATGAACACGGCTCAGAAACAGGAGAATTCCAAACAACAAGCTATCAAGCGCCAGTTAACACCGCCCAAACAGAGGGTGCCTCCAGGCAACAGAGGCCAGGCTACCTCTATGAAGATACCCTCAGTGATTGACTCCGCAGCTTCATGGCTACTCAAATGATATTCAATCTTGCTTATTGCAACATTCATACTTGCTTTAAACAGATAAGGGTTCTTTCTCCCACCCTCGACATTACACAGATAAACACACACTCCACTTGCTTCACTACCTCTATGCAGATACCCTCACTGATTGACTTGGTAAACTTCATGGCTCCTCAATGATATTCAAGCATGCTCATTGCAACATTTGCACTTACTTTAAACAGACAAAGGTTCTTTTCACCCATCCTGGAGATTATTCCACAAGAATATATACACTCCACTTGCTTCACTACCTTTATGCAGCGGCCTTCACTGATTGACTTGGTAAACTTCATGGCTACTCAGTGCTATTCAAGTTTGCTCACTGCAACATCCACACTTGCCTTATCAGACAAGGGGTCTTTCTCCAATCCTGGACATCATTCCACAGATCACTGCCAACAGAAACTCTGAGGATGCCATTAGCCACAAATGCAGGCAAAACGTTAGGAGAGAATGCTACTGGAGCATGGCCATGCAGCCCAAAAAACTCACAGCACCCAGTGCTTCCAGCCATGAAAGCCTTTAACAATACATTCTATGGATTTGCTTCAAACATGCCACAACTCCCATCATCACACTCCACAGACTATTTCCATCATCAAAGCTAGAACTTTAAACCCCTCCCATAGGTAGAAGAATTCTGCTTTACTGAGACTTCGGTGAATTCTTGAGTCACGAAGTTTGGGAAATGGTGAGGCCCAGGAAGGCATTGAGCAACATCCATTTGTTTTAAAAAGAGGAAACTCAACTGACACCCACCAGTCCTTGGAAAGACCAACTTTGTGGGTTTATACTCACCAAAAGAGTGTGAAGCTGAGCTGCGTGATTCGAGAACAGCCGGGGAGACTGCTGGCATAGTTGGCAAACCTGGGAGATCTTTTGGGAGAGAAACACAGCAATCTTATGCTCTTTTCTGGCAGGATCTTGTCTCAGCAAATTAGGAAGCCCCCCTGCCCTTCTATTTTTGCAAGGTACTGGTCTCCCCAACTATGGGTATCTTTTCTTTTAATAGTGTTTTAGCTCTCACTTTAATGCTGTACCCTGCCTCAAGCCACAAGGGGAGGGGAGAATAAATGTATTATTTTTATCATCATCATCAGCTTGAGTACCCAGTGCTGTCCGGGTTATTTGAAAAAGTCATGTTTTATTTTACAAAATGCAGAAGGTTCTGGGTAAAGTACACATCATGCCAGGTTAATCCCAAGAAACTCCATCCGTACTTAAAGTGTATGTTGGACAAGTTTGCTCTCTAAATGCATCAGTGGTGGGGTTCACTGTGCTCTCTGGCTGCAGGGTAAACTACAACTCCCACCATGGTGAGTCAGTCCCCCCAAACCCCTCCAGTATGTTGAGTTACCCATAGGGGTTCTGTGTGCCAAGTATGATTCAGATTCATCGTCGGTGGGAAAAACAGTTTATCTGGTTGTAGGTGAACTACAACTCCCAAAACTCAAGGTCAATCACTTCCAAACCCCTCCAGTAATCAAATTTGGGTGCATCAGATATGCACGCCAAGTCTGGTCCAGATACATCGGCTTTTGGTTTCACAGTGCTCTCTGGATGTAGGTGAACTACAGCTCTCCCAATTCAAGGTGAATCCCCCCCCCCCCAAAGCCCTCCAGTATTTTTGGTGGTCATGGGGGTTCTGTGTGCCAAATGTGGTCCAGGTCCATTGTTGGTGTGGGTCCCAGTGCTGTGTCTTGATGCAGGGGGAATTACAACTTCCATCATGTTGAGTCAGTCCCCCTATCCCCTCCAATATGTTCAGTTGCTGATCAATTCCTCTCTGTTTGCTGTGCACCACAGAAAAGAGTAGGAAAGGGTTAAGGGAGAGGCAGTGGGCAGGATCATGCAAATTCCACACCAATTGAGAGTGTCAGAAACACTAGGATGCCTGAAGTGAGAGAAAGTAAGGTTGCTTACCTGTAACCATGTTTCTTCTAGTGGTAACTGTGAAATTCACACCTGTGGTATTTCCCTGCGTCCACGCAGCTGACTCGGATCTTTCTTGAAAGCTTTTCCTAATTAGGGACTCCAGCCCCGCCCATCTACTCCTAATAAAGCCAGGCAGCGGGGCTTGGAGCCTTAGTTCCGTACCGTGAAAGACAGTCGGAGATAAAAGGCATGACAGAATGTGGGGAGGATGGGCGGGTTGTGTGAATTTCACAGTTAACCACTAGAAGAAACATGGTTACAGGTAAGCAACCTTACTTTCTTCTGCGTGGTACTGTGAAATCCACACCTGTGGTAGACTAGCGAGCAGTCCCACGGATGGTGGGTGTCATGCTGGTGCAGAAAAAAGTACTGCTCTCCCAAAAGCCGTCTCCTTCTTGGCAGCTAAATCCAATTTATAATGGGAGACAAAAGTATGCGGTGTTGACCATATGGCCACCCGACAGATATCATTCAGAGGCACACCGTGCAAAAAAGCCATGGAGGCTGCCAATGCTCTAGTGGCAGCGGTCGGGAACCTATGGCTCTCCAGGTGTGGTGGACTTCAACTCCCACAATGCCTTGAGGCTCGGCACTAGCGGGCGGAGCCGAAGCGGCGAGGAGGCGCGTTGCCCGCAGGGGTTTCCGCCCGCTCTCTCCCTCCGAGGCCAGCCTTTGCTGCCCGTCCTCCATGAAAAAGAGCCAAACAAACCTCCTATGAAAAACACCTCCATGAAAAAGAGGCTTTTTTCATGGAGGACGGGCAGCAAAGGCTGGCCTCGGAGGGAGAGAGCGGGCGGAAACCCCTGCGGGCAACGCGCCTCCTCGCCGCTTCGGCCCCGCCCGCTAGTGCCGAGCCTCAAGGCATTGTGGGAGTTGAAGTCCACCACACCTGGAGAGCCATAGGTTCCCGACCGCTGGTCTAGGACAGAATATATCTGAACAGGTAAGTCCAGTCCTGCCATTTCATAAGCTAGCCGGATAGCTGCAACTATCCAGGCCGCCACCTCTGGGTAGAAACAGGAAGGCCCACAGTATCCCTACGGTACTTAACAAAAAGTCGTAGTGAGTTCCGTAATGGAGCTGTGCGGTGGACATAAAAAGCAAGAGCCCTCCGCACATCAAGAAGGTGCAAAGACTGCTCCAGGGGAGTAGAAGGATTTGGAAATAAGGTTGGAAGGACAATGTCCTGAGACATATGAAACTATGATGCTGCCTTAGGTAAGAAGGGAATGTCTGTGCCCAGCATGACCTTATCCTTATGAAATTTCACGTAAGGACTATCGACTCAAGAGCCATAGGCTCGCTAGCACGACGAGCAAAAGTAATAGGCACTAAAAATGCTGTTTTCCATGATAGATGGAACATGTCAGAAGTGGCCATTGGCTCAAATGGTGGTTTCATAAGGGCGAAAAGAACAACCTCCAACCTCCAAGAGGGGGGACAGGCCTACTTGGGGCCAGAAATTTCTAAAGCCTTGCAGAAATCTCTTTACAAGAGGATCGGATAAAGGAGAGGGAAGAGAATGCTCGCTTCTAAACGAATCTATATTTGCCAGATTGACCTTCAAGAATGATAATGAGAGTCCTGAATCTGACAGAGAAATCAAAAAATTCAGGAGGAGGGAAGTGGAAGCAGACAGAGGCTGAACCCCTTGCTTTTGTGAAAAAATGCAAAAATGACACCACTTACATATGTAAGAATGTTTAGTGGCAGGTCTCAGGGCAAGGTCCAAACTGCCCTTTACTGGTTGAGAGAGGGCTGAGGCTGGATCTGCCACGCCGTCAACCGGAACTGAGTGACCTGGGAGTACGGGACTGGGCTGTTGCCCATAGTCAGCAAGTCTGGTCTGAGTGGCAACTGAATGTAACAGCTGCCTGCAAGTTGGAGCAGAGTGACAAACCATGGCTGGCGGGGCCACCATGGTGTGATGAGAATGCAATCTACCTGCTCTGCTTGAAGACGAGAGACCACTCTGGACAGCAGTGGCAGTAGTGGAAAGATGTACAGGAGGGCGGATGTCCAATCCAGGAGGAAGGCATCTCCCAACAGCCTGTCTGGTGGAGGTAAGACGTGCTCCAAAGAACTGGCACTTCATGTTGGCGGGAGAGGCAAACAAGTCCAGAAGGGGAGTTTGCCATCTGACAAAGAGTTCCCATCCCTGGGAAGGATGAAGGGACCATTAGTGGTCATTATAAACTGTCTGACTGAGGGAGCCAGCAAGAGAGTTCTTGATGAATGGCACTGATGGTTATGGTATACCAGTCCCAGATTCTGATGAGGGCAAGCAAATCACAATTGTGGTGGTGGTGGTAAGCTGGACAATACTGTCCATGAGCAAATGACAGATAAGGTGCAGTGCCATTTCTACTGCAAGTAACTCCAAATAGTTGATGTGCTCTATGCCCTCTAGGGCCGCCCAAGGACCATGGATGGTGTGACCCTTGAGGCGAGCTCACCACTCTGAGAGGGAAGTGTCTGTTGCTAACATCGCCCACACAGAGATTGGAGCGATGAGTCCACTAGTTGATAGACCGGTGGATGGCTAAAGGGACATTGAGACATTCATTGGGCTCATCCTGCATGGGATGAAGTGCCCGAAGAAACCAATTCTGGAGAGGCCGAAGGTGCAAACAGGAGAAAGGAGTGGCAGCTGTGGTGAATGCCATGTGTCCCAAAAGGCACTGGACATCCCTGGCATGGATGTATGGCTTCTTCCAGACTCAAAGAGCTAATGAATGCAGAGTCAGAAACCTGTCTGAAGGCCCTTGCATGCCAAGAGTCCAATACAGGCCCAATGAATTGGTTGTTTGGATAGGCTGAAGAAGAGATTTTACCTTGTTGATAAAAAGACCAAGCTCCTGCTATAAAGACAGAGTAAAGTGAATGTTCCTCTGTAGATACTCACAGAACTGTGCACCAACAACCAGCCATCAATATAGGGGCAAACTACCACCCCGTGCACCCAGGGATGAGCCGGCATACAGCCATCTCCTTAGTAACACCTGTGGAGCTGTGGAGATACCATAATGAAGAACTTGAAATGAAAAGGCCTGACTGCTAGTAAAAAGTGACAAAAATCTACTGTCTTGTGGTCTAATCACCACATGAAAATAGGCATCCTTCAAATCAATGCTACTGAACCATGTCTTGCTGGATAACAGAGGGAGGATGGTTGGTAATGACAACATCTGAAATTTGCAATATGCAATATATGCATAAAGTCCTCTAAGGTCCAAAACTGGCCAAAGCCCACTGCCTTTCTTGGAAACCAAAAAGTATTTGGGGAAAAGGGAAAAGAAGGAAACATAGAAAGATGTAAAGAAGCTACTGCTCCTTTTGAAACAAAGTAATTACCTCCTACTATAACACAGGAGGAGGAGTGGCCCGTAGAGTCCCTACTGGGGACAGTTTGAGAAATTAAATTGCATAAACATGCTCTGTAATCACCAACACCCATGAGTGAGAAGTGATCTAATGCCATGCATCTAAAAATGATGAGGTGGAGCGCCAAAAACTGGAGCTGAAGGGTTGGAGGCTATTAAAGAAGAGAAAATGCATGCTAAAAACACTGTTGGCCCTGATCTTCTTCTTTCCCTTTAGTTTGTTGTCACCCCTGGTGGAAAAATTAAGTCTCCCAGCTACAGAGGCCCTAGAGTTCTGGCCCTGCTGAGGACTGAAGGAAGCAGGTCATGAAGGTTGATGATAATTAAGCTGAGGGGCTGGCCACCACAATCTAGGCTAGATTGTGGTAAAAAGCCAAACTTAGAAGCAGCCTGTCAAATCTTGTGCGTACTTTTGAAATGAGGGTCTGTATCAGGATGAAACAGACTATGTTCTGCCATGGGCAGTTATTCTGCCATTGCTCTGCCTTCTTTGGAGAGGGTAGAGGATCTCAGCCAACCATGCTGGTGGATGGCTGCTGCAACAGCAGCAAACACCTTTAGTACTGTATCGGTGCTGTGCTTAGCCATAGCTTTCTGATGAGAAGCTAAGGTGAGAGCTTACTGACAGAAAGCCCTTAGGATCTGTTGATGTTGTAGGGGAAGGAGATCCAAATAAAGTGCTGAGCTATGCCACAAGAGCACCTGATAGGCTGCCATACAAGCATGGTAATGAATCATGCAAGTGAGTAGGCTAGCAGTGGGGTGGATCTTCTTATCACAGTGGACTGACTTGAGGTGCCTTCGCTTTCTTGGATTAAACAACTTTGACCACAATAAAGTTCAGTTTAGTAGGCTTAACTAACCACTCTGTTGAAGAGGTGCCTATGCTGTAAAGTGCATTTACAAACTTAGAAATTCCAGCACAGATACAGGAGTTGCCTTTTGTTTTTCTCCAAGCTTAAGCAAGTATGGAAGTGCTGGGAGAACTGGGAGAACTGTACTTGGAGCTTGTTTCTGCTGTTGCTCAACTGAGAAAAGCAGATCCTCTAAGCAATCAAGGAGGAAAAATTAGGTAACACATCCCTTATGGAAGCTGGGATGGAAAAGTCCTCCTCAAGAGTAGGAGAAATCTGCTACTCATAGGAGTCAGAATCTACATCAGACTCATTGACTGGTTGCAGCTGAAAGGAAGCACCAGAATGAGCTTAGGAAAAAGTCTTATTAAACTCCTGAAAACCAAAAGAAGGGACTCCAAATCCTTGAGAAGGAAAGGAGGGTGCAGTTTGTGCCTATTCAAAATAGTAGCAACCTACCTGTTGAGGCATGGACCAAGTGGCAGATGGGGCCCAAAAGAGACAGTACTTACATTCTGAGCCGTCACTGAAGCTCCCAGGCGGCATGATGCAGAGGGAGGATGGTAGCCCGAA